AAAGAAAGAAAGAAAGAAAGAAAGAAAGAAAGAGAAATCAACCAGTAACAAATGCCGGTTGGGCTGAGGGGAAAAAGGAGCCTTTTTCCTCTGCTGGTGGGATTGTAGACTGGTGCAACCACTGTGGAAATCAGTGTGGAGATTCCTCAAAAAATTAAAACTGGAGGTTCCATTTGATACAGCTATTCCCCTTCTTGGAATGTTCCTGAAAGAATTAAAAGCACTGCAGCACAGTGATATATATACACCCATATTTATAGCAGCAGAGTTTATAATAGCTAAGTCTTGGAAACAGCCCAGTTGCCAATCAACTGACAAATGGATAGAGAAGATGTATTTTTTTAATACAGCGGAGTACTACTCAGCCATAAAGAAGGGTGAGCTGGAGACATTTCTAGCTAAATGGATGCATCTTGAGACCACACTCTTAAGTGAAGGAGCACACATGTTTAAAGACCCCATTGTGTCTCTGCTGTGAGAAACTGAAAGTAGAAATAAGGACCAAAATGTACAACAGACACTGGGAAATGGGAAGAGAATGCTCAAATGAGAGGGGAAAGGGAAGGAAGTGACCAGAAAAACAGAAAATTGAAGGAGGAGGTGGAAACAAAGCTTTTGTACGTAAGAGGGGATGGGGAAAAAAGAGAAGCAGCAAGCTATATCATGTACTGCTACCGATTCCCTATGATGAATGTTATTATCACGCATGTCTAAACTATACCAATAAATAGTTTGCTGAAAAAGAAAGGAATGGTTTTTAGAAATCAAGATCGTGAGGCAGAAGGATCACTGCAAGTTCAAGGCCAGCCTGGGCTACATAATGAGTTCAAGACCAGCCTAAACTACGTATGTAGTCAGACCTTATCTCAGAAAACAAAGCAAATTTTTAAAAAAGAAAAGAAACAAAGGAAAGAAACTAAGCTATCACTGCTGGGCTTGCTTGTCACCGTGGATGTCATCTGGCTGAGGCCCCTTCAGAGCACTGAGCTAACCAACAGTGGATCCTGGGCTTGGGGCAGTGTCTTCATCCCAACCCACAGGTGTCTCTCACACCGGGCCCGGTGGCACCAGCTCCCCAGTTCGTCCCTTGCTGGCTCCCCACCTTCGTTTGTCTGTTTTCTGTTCCAAGAGGTAATGACAGCTGGCCACCCTTCACCACACTGCCTGCCTTCGCACCGGTCATAGCCACTCGTGAAGGGAGACGGGACGAGGAATCAAAGTTGGAAGCGAGGTGCAGGAGGCCTGACCTTCCACTTGCCGCCTCGCAGGTCTGAGGCCAGGCTGTGTAGGCAGATGTGGTGTCCAGCCCCACTGCTTGCCGGCCAAAGGCAGCCACAGCACCTTCGCGGACCACCAGATCCTTCTGCCCCCCACTCCTCCAAAGAGCCACCCTAGTCCTGACCCTGCACCCGGGAGTCCACCCAGCTCTGTCTGCTGGGCCCTGATGTCAAAGCCAGGCTGGCACCTGGAGTCCTTGAGAGCCAGCAGCTGCCTCTGTAGGTCAGGGAAGTGCTCTGGGTAGCATTCCATGAGGCTCAGCTGGTCTTGCAGCATCGGTGGGGGCACTCATCTGCAGGGGAGACCTCTCAAACCGCGGCCAGGACCACACTCCCTCAGCGTGCGGACCTTGTGGGGTCTGCAGGTGGCCCAGGGCACCCAGGGAAGTGGTTGGGAGTGCGCCACCCATGACAGCAGAGCTCCGTGTGGCGTGCACTTGACACTGCTCTCAGCCGGTCCCTGGCTGTCCTGCAGCTGTCCTTGTTCCCTGACAAAGGGTCGAAGCCCTGAGACGCTTGGCTGTCACCCATAGTGCTTGCCAAGTGGTGCAGACGTGGGGCTGAGATGGTCCAAGAGAGTCCTGGGGACCCCTCCAGGGGTGCAGCACGGGGACTGGGAGCAGGTCCAGGCTCCAGGAGACCCTGCAGGAGCCCTGGCTGTGGCACTGGGACTTGCCATTGTGCCCAGCAAGAACAGCTTTGGCCCCACAGATGTCCCTTCCTCATGCGCCCACACAGGTCAGGCTACTCAGAGCCCAAACTGGATGAGGCACCGCCTGCGAGGGCAGGACGCAGGGGGCAGTGTGCAGGGCAAGCCCTGGAGTCTGCCACCACCCTGGGCACAGGCCTGTCTGTGCCTTCCTGGACCCTGGAGCCTGGTGAGGCCTTGGGACTCCCTCACTGGGCAAGGCAGCCCGAGGGTCTCTGCACCCACGCTGACCTCGGGCCGCCCCTGCCCTCCCTACCCCCACCAAACTGTTTCTGGAGACCTGGGCTTTATCCAAATTCAACCTAAACAATTTGCATGAGAAAGACATTTACCTTTTCAATACCCCGCTCTGGCTGCAGCTTCAGCTTCGTGCCCAGCATGACTGCCTGGCAACACAAAGAGGGTGGATTAAGGCGGAGAGGGGGCCAGTGCCACAAGCTCTCACCCTGTGCCCTGCCATGGCTGCTGCAGGCACAGCCCAGCCCGAGTCTCCTGCCCCCCAGCCGGGGGAGGGCCCAGGCTAACAAGGGGCAGGGGCGGGGCACAGGGCCCACAGCCTAACCCGTGGGCTGCTGGGTGGGCCAAGCGGTCTTCACACGGTACATTCTGAGCTGGGGCCCCTCTGAGCACCGTCTGAGAGGCAAGAACCTGGCTGGGGTGGGGGCACGGGCAGAGGTGCCCCAGGTTCTGATGCAGCCACAGCACTGGCCGACCGTCCTGGGCAGCCACGTGCAGCCTGCAGCAGTCTCAATGGGGCGAGGAGAGCTGGAGGCCACGCTCCAGCCTCAGCATGCATCCTGGCTCCCGGGCCTTCTCATTGCTGGGCAGAGTGTGCCGGGCCCTGACCACCCGCACGTACCACAGGCTCACGCTGCTATTAATAATTTCCATACATCGAGTTCCCATTATGAGCAAAAATAACGGAGCAGCCCGGGAGCAGCTTGGCGCCCCACCCGGCTGCTCAAAGACCAAAATAGCGCCCTGGGAAAGGCTCTGCTCTGTGGCCAGTCCTGGGACTCGAGCCGCGGGGGGGCAGGGCCAGGGGCACAGGACCGGGGGCCTCTGCCTGTGCAGTGCTGACCCGGAGCCTCTGCAGTCTGGCCCGGGGCCAGCAGCCACTGCCTTGGCCAGGACCCATGTGGTACGGGGCATGGGAGGGGCACAGGGCCTCGGTTCGGGATGCAGGGCCGTGCAGGGCCTCCAGGTGAGGCCTGCCCAACCTTCACTCAAGGGCTCTGGGCCCCCCGGATCAGAAACTTCCCTGGAGCCGTGGAGGCACCCCTACCCCAGCCCTCACTCCCCACGGATACAGCCTCACTGTCAGCCTCACTGCCCGGACCCCACTGGACACCTCAAACTCTGGGAACCAGGCTTCCAGAAAATACCCCTTGGAGGGAAGAGGGAGGCAAGGTCACCCTAGCACCTCTGCTTTATCTGCTCCTAGCCATGACCCCAGAGGCCAGGCCTTGCTGGCCCTGCCACTCAAAGACTCCTGCTTTGGGGGCAGTATGGGGTGCAGGCTGTGCCAGGCACGCAGTTCACTGTCCAGGAACACAGTCACAGGCTCAGGTGCCCAACACCCTGCGCAGGGATCCCCAGGCGTCCACTGTCTGGGCAGGAGCTTTCTGTGCACCCAGGGTGCTTCTGGTGACCAGGTGGCCCTGGTGGTGACTACAGGGCATGGCCAGCAGGCCTGGGCCACCCCTCTGTCCACTCTGCCCTGCAGCCCCGGGGGGTTCTGTGGCCCAGGACTGGGCAGAGCCTGGACAAGGGAGGAGCCTGCCCAGGTCTAGCCAGCCACAGCCAGGAGCCTGGTGTTCCTGGGGCCGCCTTGGTGACCGGGGGTGGGTTGGGGAGGGCAGGAGTGGCACAGACCCAGCTCTTCCACAAGCTCCTGGGCTCAGTGGGCATCACTGTGGGGGCAACACTGAGCTCACAACAGGACCAGAGCATGCTGCCTATAGGAAGATCACCCACCTGTCCAGGCACCAGCCAGCAACCACGCTGGGCCCAGAGTGGCCCAGGAGAAGGTGGGACAGAGCCAGGACTGGGCCTGATGACGGGGGGGGGGACAAATGGGGCCACCCTGTACCTGTGCACTCTCCTGACTGCTGCCACCCCAGAGGGCAGGACGTCTCCTAAGAAGGTAGGACAGGCCTATGGGCAGTGGGGGCTTTTGGTCATCTGGGAAACTGGGGAGGGGCTAACTCTGGGGCCCAGGGTCCCCACGCTGACTGAGGGACAAGAGGGCCGGGCAGGTGCCTGGGCCAGCCGAAGACCCCAGCGCCTGCCTAGCCTTCCACCTCCATGTGGGCCTGGAGCCAAGGGGGCCTTCCCCCCTTAAAGCAAAGCTATCTTTTTACCTTGATAAGCTGTTTAAAAAATGTAAATAAAATAACTCAGTGAACAAAAGCAGGCATTCATCCTGCCTGGGGCCAGCCGCTGTGCTGGACATGAAATATCGCGGCACATTGAGTCGTGAGCGCTTGCTAATCCGAGCGGACAGGCCTGAATGCAGCCCCTTTCGCCGGGCGCGGCGGTGGGCAGTGGAGCGTGCACCGCCTGCCGGGCGGCCCCGCTGGGGACAATGGCTTTTCTTCGCAGAAGGGGCCGGTGAGGGACAAGAGCCCCCTTTGTGTAGGGACGCTGGCTCGGAGCGGAGGGAGGTGCATTCAGAAGCCCAGACACTCTTTGAAAGGCTGAGCGTAACAGAAGAGGCCTGAAACACTAGCCTGTCTTCTGCGTCCACACTGCACTGGCTCCCCGCCTGCGCCCGGCCACGCGAGGGAGGCCTCAGTCCACATTGTTCCTGGTGCAGCCATGCCAGCCTCTGCGCCTCCAAGCCCAGCAGAGGAGGTTAGGGCAAGATGGACAACGA